ACACACTGCCAGCCCTGTTTGGATTGTACCAGCCTGAGCTCTCTTCCTCTGTCCTCCACACTTTTGTTCTCGCAACTCTTTCTGTATGTATGTGTGTCTCTGTCATTCAGTTTCCCAGACCCTTACTGCTCCATAAAGAAGCATTATTGTTCACCCAGAGGAATTCTTTCAGCCCCCATGCCAGTCTACAGTGCCGGCCTCCTTCTTGCACTCATCTTACTGAACACGCATTTTCTGCATTTCGCCACAGTAAATCTCGTTGATGACTACATTATCAACACAAAACGTAGCAGGATCTGGCTGCTTCCCTGGAATCCAGATGATCCGATGTATCTGGATTAATTGTCTTTAAAAGAACTCATGCTCCAAGGTCTGTCAAGCCCAAATTTAGGGTATCCTGACTTTAGCCCAAATTTAGCGTATCCTTAGGGACAACCCTAAAAACTTTTCACACCTTGTTCATGCAATATTATTTACGGCACTATGTAAACTACACTGTCACTTGATTTTGAGTCTGCCAGCACAGCTGTCGTAACTTTAGTCCAATAGATATTTGCATACCACACCGGAAAATGATACCGTCTAGGTGTAATGACTTATGGCTGTATTTTCATACATTCCACACAGTTGGACTTCATGCAGAGCTTCACTCCTAATCACACAGTGCTTTTGCTGAAAATGACAACTTCCTGTTGCTTTCTTCATTCTTTTTTCTTTCATACCAATAAGGACCATGCTGTACATTTGTGCTTTCTAGACATCAGCATTGACTATTAAAAACCCTCTGTAACCACAATAAAGGATTACTATCCTCGTCCAGATTTACTTTATTCTCTCAATGTCCACTGAGAACAATTGGAAAGCCTCTCTTCTGTAAATAAGCACCCTTTTACAAGGTAATAGGATATAGTGTATTTGGTACACACAAGATCGGTGGTGGGTTGCGTTGTGTACTTTTACAGAGAGACATAAGATCATGTATGCTTGATTTGATTGCAGATTTGTTTAGATTTAATTAACTGTGAAGAAATATAACAAAGGCATAGACCATAAAAATGGAAATGAAATGGAAATAGGAAGTGGTTTAATTTTGCGGTGATTTTTTGTTGTTGTTTTTTTCTTTCAAAATTTCCTTGGTGAGGGGAGTCTTCGTGTTATGATTTTGTGGTACACACAAAGTGGTCTGACTGAATATGTCCCACTGTCTCATAGGACAACAATACATCTCTGTGGCTATGTGACCTAGTTTAGGTTTAACAGATCTACTGACTGGATCATTCGAAAATTTTTCCAGGTACATGAACTTAACCACAAGCCATATTCACATTATTAGACCCAATCTAACATTCTATCCAGTTAAACTTTATGATCTTCATGCTTGTTCAGTGAAAACTGTGTAGTTGAACAGAGATCCACTTGCTGACAGGACGAGCCTTTATTGCAAAGTTAAATTACTCTCATGAATTTTAACATATAAAGATTGACTTACATTTTACGGTTACATTTTTATCTTAAATTTAGCTTGAAGATTTATGTCTAAATGGTAGACCTCATTTTGGAGAAAGTCTCCCAAGTTTTTTATGTATACATGAAATACTTTTGGAAAGTTGTTATATATGGCAGTGTGACATGCTAATCTAAAATGATTTTAAACAGCATTTCGCTAATAATTATTATTACGATCTCATTTTATTTAACATTTGATTTCATTCCACGCTGCATACAATGAACTAACAAGGGAATGTTTAAAAAAAGATTTTAAAATGTTTATAAAATGATACACTTTCCCTAAAATTCATATACATTTCAACCTAAGATCTTGATGTTGAGTGAAATAATAAAAGTACATGGGTATGTTTTGTCAGCTACTGTGTTTATTTGGAGTCCAATAGCAACCTTATCCTTGGAAGCAGAGTTTCGTAGAATGAGGTTTACCATCTAGACACAATCCCTTTGAAGGCTCTTTCCCTCACAGTTCTGTTGTGCTCAAACTCTCTTCTGCACCAGAGATCAGAGAACTCTGAAAGACCCCCAACCAGCCACCTGAATTATGGGATGATTAAACCTTAACCAACCCTGCAACTACTGTCTCCTTTGAACATTTGCAACTTGTTCTAACCATATTCCGAATCTCACATGTTGTAACTAGGCCCTAATTGGCCTTACCCTACCCAAGCTTTTCTAGTTTCCTACTAATTTCCTTTCTTTTAACCCTGAGATAACTGCACATTATTTTGCCTTACTTTAAAGGACTTTTGTACTTTACCATCTCGCCCTGCTTTTCCTAAAGACATCCTCATCTGCTTTTCCTAAGCTTTTTGGCTGCAGCGATCTCGCACAAGAAGCTGCCAAAGCTGGCTAAATAACCTACCAAGCGACCACACATGACTGAACCGTCACGCTCATATCTGCACCTCCACTATCCCGGTTATCGCTTCAGCACCCTTGTTCACATCGGCAAAAGGGCAGCACACCTCTCGGATCACATGTGCTGGTCGTAATGCAACAAGTGCACACACACACTAATACAACACCATTTCTGAGCTATAAAGGCAAATGATTTGCATTCACATTCAGTCATTTTGCGGTGGCTCTTTGACCATAAACTCAAAAACAACACTAAAACTGCCTCACCACAAAGTCATGGAGTTTATCAAGACTAGATAGTATTTTCATTTTGACAGTTTCTAAGTTTGGTACTTGGATGCGAATTGTTCACTTGAAAGCATGTAATCAAGATGTCAACATGCAAGTACATGTCAGATTGAACCTCTGCTTTCTAATCTGTTTTGTATTGTGCAAAAGGCCTGTCGTGCAGGTTTTCAGTGACTGCAGCCCCCTGATAGTGACTGTATCTATAACGACAACTGTTTGTTTCTAGATGCAATCCCTTGTGTATTGTCCTAGGCTCTACTTTGGTGTTTATTTCTGTGTGTGCATTTGTGCTTATGTGTGAATTGTTTCTTCAGGGTGTTAAAAATTCACCTAAAATGTGATTTTATATATATTTGCATTCTTCAGGTCTGTTGAATTAGTGTCACTAACAACCAATGAAGTTTAATCTTTTAAGTGTTAATTCCCCTATCCTCTTTCTGCTTTTGGTTTGTGTGTATTTCTAAGCTAATGATTGGCGTGGCTCTTTGTAAACAGTGAAACACCCCAGCAGTCACGTATGCATAGTGCGTGCTATAGGTGTGTCTAGGTGCAATAAATCGAAATGACCACTCGATATGGTGCTGTATTTTTATTTTTTTTTTATAAATTGTTTAATATGTTATTTAAACTGTAAGTTAAACATTAAAGTGGATGTTATCTTGAGTGTGACGATAACATGGACTGACTCGGAGTAAGCTTTAGCTGATGTCAGTGTCAACAGAAGTGCACTGAAAGATGGGTTTACATGTGTGTATCAGAATAGGGAATATCTGGTCAGGCTCGTTTGCTTTTAAAAGTTCTGGTCTGTTCACCATAAGAAGAATGTGGCTTAGTTTGTTGCAGCTTTTATTGTTTTTTACAGAATTATATGTTTTTGTAGTGGGGGAAGAGAAAAGATTACCCTATGGAGAAAAGATTAGCACTTCCATCCTGTAGGATGAGGCATGACGTAATGTGTGCAGTGATGTGTGTATCATGTGGATAAGGCGTTGTGTACTTTGTGTGGTGGTATGATGATGATGATGATGATGATGATGATGATGAGGCTAGGTGTATCTATGACGTGAAAAGCTTATTTGTCATATTTATGATCACAATTGTCTGCACCATATTGTTGGAATTTTTACTGTTAGATTTGATTGTCACTGATATTTTTTGTTTCATTAGAATTTGTGGTTTTATTTTTCTGAACAACAGCAGATCTGATTCACAAGGGATTTTTGTAACTTTAATGTCTTAAGCCCCGGTTCACACCAAGAACGATAACTATAAAGATAACGATATTAGCGTCCACACCAGCGAACGATATCGTCTGTTTATTCTACGAGCACGCTCGTCTGCCGCTTTAAATTCTTGAGCTCGTTACAGCAGGATGGATTCTGATTGGCTGTCAATGTTTTTATCGTTCATCAGCTGGAGAAAAATCGTTTTGAAAGTGATTCCAACGATATCGTTTCTCTTTGTCTTTATCGTTATAGTTGTGGTGTGGACTGTGCTATTCTATAATATGGAGAACGATTTTTAGAACTATACCTTTATCGTTATCTTTATAGTTATCGTTCTTGGTGTGAACGGGGCTTTATTCTAGTACACTATCTCTGATTTTTTTATTTAATTTTTTATTGAAAGTATTTTGTGCTTTGTTTTTGTTAGTATTTATTTTATTGATTTAGGTTTTTGAACAACAGCAGGTCTGACTTTACGGAACTTTAGTGTATAATTTTTAGACTTAAACCAGAAATATTTCAGAATGTCAATTTTGATTCCACAACTAATATACTTTTGAATTGAGCACACATTTTAATTATTGATATATATATATATATATATATTTCTATGTAAATATTGCAAGTTTTTCAAATAGTTATTCAAGTTAAATATCGGTAATAAAGATCAAATTAAATAAAAGTAGTTTACATATTATTAACATTAAAAATATACTAAATTTTTCCTAATTAAAATACTTGTTACTAATTAAAAAAGTAAGCCTTTTTACCTTTAAAGAAAGGAATAGTGCTTGTAAAAATAAACAAAATAATAAAAATAAAATGTACAAAATTCATGTACACTCACATAACATGAAGGCTTGAACGTTTCTATTTACACAAAGCAGGTCACCTCATGGTGGCTGCTATGTTGGGATCACATGACCAGTCAGATGCTACTTACTGCAACTCGGTATTTCCCAGGTTCATATCTCAAATAAGGCCACGAATCAAATATACAGTAATTCAAACAAATTCATAACAAATGCTGACACAAATTGAACACGGATGAATTTCATCTCATCAAATATGATCATGAGGATCACGTTTTTCTGAACTGTTCCTGTTCTTTTGTTCTAGACTCTGAGACAGAGGAAGAAGATCCCAGAAAGCACCACAGAAGAAGAAGAAGAAACTTCGGCCATCAATAAGTGCAGCAAAGTCAACGAAGAAACGGTATGCAAAAGTGAAATTCAAACTGATGATACAGGCATATTCCTGATGAAAATACAAGCTGTAAGTTAAGTCACAAAAAATGCTTTTTTAAAACAAATACAATGATGGCAATAATGCACAATCCTACAAAGACTGCACTATAGACTTCCATTTTAAGTGCATTTCTGTGCATGTTTCTTTGGCACAAATAAGGATGAGACAGGATGTGTTAGATTAGCCATCTAGCTGATTAGTGAGGTCAACTAGTTTATCTAGAATTTTTCTCTCTTTAGTTGTAGCTTAGTTAATATTTTGCACTGTAGTGCTACACGTCCTGTGTGAACGGCCCATGGGAAACGCATCTGATCGATGTGTGGTGGACATGACGCTAAACCAGTCTAAATGTATATTACTTCCTGAAGACATTACGAAAACATAGTTTTACACATTCATAGGCTTAAAATGACTTTCTGTGGTAATCAACAGATGCTGGCGATTGAGCTGAGCTTGCATTTAACCCAGAACAGTCATTTAATCGCTGTATCACACATTTGTTTGCTTGTCATCTGGAAGTGAAGCTTTAGTTCATATGACAGGAAACCACAAGCAACCATTCCTCTTTTTGCTTGAAGCGACAGTGAAACACAAGCAGAGCAGGTGACTTTCTGTTGCTCTGTCTTTCTTGTACAGTGATTATCATTTAAGACTTATTTCTTGAAAACTTCCTTTTTCTTGTGGTTGAACGATGCCACAATCTGGATAAAGCCAAAATATTTTTGTGCTTCACTGACAATGAAAAGATATGTGAAAAATGCTTGTGTATACACTTCGCTCACTCTGTGTGTGTGTGTGTGTGTGTGTGTGTGTGTGTGTGTGTGTGTGTGTGTGTGTGTGTGTGAATGTCCTGTGTGTGTCCTCTATCAGAGGCATACAGGTCTTTCACAAGCATCGATTGTTTTGTGAATTTGACAGACAGGGTCAACGATTTAGAGAACACTGACCCCTTTGCAGAACCGCGCTGTACCATTCATTACTACATCTAGTAATAAATATGTGCATGCGTGTATGAAGTTGGAGAAGTATTTCCTTATTTACTAGTAATTTATAAAAGAAAAAAATAAATTTTACTTAAGGAAAATGAAGAAAAAAATATGACAAAATTATTATTAAATTCTTAATATTAAATGTTTAATAATACATTATTACTTTATGTATATGTGTATTTAGAAATTATAATTTAACATTTTTAATATTTCCATTATTATATATTACATAATTTGTAAATTATATTTAATATTTGTTATAATTATTTTGTGTGTATATAGTTAAAATGAAAATAATATTATATTTTATAATAATTATATAAATTATAATAATTCTATAAAAAATTATAATTCACCTTTTTTTTTTTTATAGTACAAATATGACCCACCCAGACTTGTTCTTACTCTGTCATTCTTACTCTGTGTTACACTACAGGTCAAAACATAATCTGTGCATCAGGCTTAGGCATAACAACCAACACCGTAATTAATGCCGTAATGAAACTTGAAAGCCAGACAGGATAGGCAGTCCAGACCAGATTTCTGGGTTCATTACAGAAGGAATGTGGTCTCAATTGCTGCACTCCCATTCATTTCAGCGTTGCTGTGAAGCAAAAGCAATTCATTCGTCCTAACATGTCCACCTATTGATGATGTGGCAGACATTTTCTAGAATTAAACGTGAATACATTGTGCTGTCCTCCTCCTCCTCGTTCCACAGAACAAGTCAAGTGGGTGGTTATGGTTAAGCTGCTCTTCGTATTCTGTCATGCAATAATAACTATAAATAACACTGAATAAATCAGAGCTATTATGATGAAGCTTTTTGTTTGTTTAAATTGGCCCCCTAGATAATGTCATTGAATTGCAATGACGTTCTGTATCTTGTGATCAGGTGGCACATTTGGCATGGTCCTACATCCAGACTCTGGAGAGGTGTTAATATGCGCATGATTGCCATGAATGTCAGCCTGCTGTTTCAAAATTACACGCACAGAGCCATGCATAGATAGACGTCTGTTGCTTCAGGTTAAGTCCACCTTGAGTTCAAGGCCTCTGCTTCTTTGAATCTTGGTGAGGTGCCGCCCCCTATAAGTCTTGGGTCTATACTAACTCCAGTGTGTCATATTAGACACACCCACCACCTCTGCTTTATATTGTTATAGTGGCCCCTGGTGGAGAACGTAGGAAAAGCATCTGGTCAAAGTTTGCACCATAAACAAGGAAGTCAAATGATTCAGTAAACTAACATCATAGCCAACATTCCTGGTGCGCAGTACTTCCTGAACTCTGTTAACTTTTACATAATGGCAGGCAAATTAACGGAATATTTAATAAGATGGCAATAAATGGTTATGTTATTCATCTGGTTAACTTACATGACCTTGTTAGTATGAAGTGAATTTTAATATGAATAATTTTGTCATATTGAATTATGATTAATACATTAAATTACTACAGAATTATTTTATAACAGGATGGATTGTTTTAGACACAAACCAACTAATAACACAAAACATCACTGATTATTACAAATGACTAACATGTTCACTAAATAATTCCTATTTTACCTCTGAAATAAAATAATATAAATATTAGATGAAAAACTTAAATGAAATTCAATGTTGCCTTGGCAACTAACTGAAATAAGTAAGTTGAAGTACTAAAATTACTACAAATAAAACTGAAATAAAAATAAAGCTAAATAGAATATACAGTGGGTACGGAAAGTATTCAGACCCCCTTAAATTTTTCACTCTTTGTTATATTGCATATAAATAAAAAAGCGCATAACAAATTTGTTAAAGCCTTAAAACTAAACTAAAATCTTAAAATATAAAAATAATTCAAAATACTTGAATAGTATATCAATAATATTAGAATAACACTGTTATTGGTTATAAATAATATTTATGAATATTATTAATTATATTAGAATATGTATTAATATTTATTTAATATAAAATAATATTTCTATTTTTTTCGTTGTGCATACAGGATCTGGTAGACTGGCGGAAGCCTCTGGCCTGGCAGGTCGGATATCTCAGAGAGAAATATGACACGTGGGTCCATCAGCCTGTGGACAGACCGATCAGGCTGTTTGAGAATGACTTTTTCGAAGCCAACACAAAGACTTCTTGGTAAGACAAATCACATTACAGGATTTACTGCTTGTGTTTGTTTAGTTAAACATTGTACTTTAATAAGTAATAGTGTTATGCTACAGGAGTTGCTACGTTAAGTGTGTGGTGGTTAATTAACAGATACTTGAACCTTGTTATGTGTGTGTTTTTGCAGGTACATGGTGCCAATTGTATGGATGCCTTTGGTGATCTATCTGAGCTGGTACTGCTATGCGTTACTGGCACAAGAGAGGACAAGACTGTTCATTACATCAGGTGTGTGAAAAGTGTGTTTTAAGACATTCTTAGTTGATTTACTTAGTCCTCAGAAGTATTATTTTGACTTCACTAGTATTTATAAACTATTATAGTATTTATTAATATTTAGAATTTTTTTGCTTTTTTACATGTATATTTTATTTTATAGTTTGTAGTAATTTATTGGGGGGGGGTTTCTACATAGCTTTAATTTAATATAGATTTCTGTTTTAGTTTTATTTTTAAACCTAATTATTTCAGTTAGTTGCCAAGGCAAAATGTTACGTTTTTTCCATCTGATATTTATTTCATTTTAGTTTACCGTTATTCCAATTACCAAAAACATTTTTAATAGTTTTAGTTAACATTAACAACACTGGCAGAAACACCCTTCTGACATAAGTGACGCAGTTAAATAAGTAAATGATCTTAGTGAAGGATTATGGATTGGTGGATTATTTTTTTTATTTTACACATTTACTTTTTAGACTACTCCATTCTGGTCCACAAGTACAGCTTTCCGTTCATCTTCATGCTTGGCGTGTTCCTGTGGTCGTTCATCGAGTACTGCATCCATCGCTTCGTCTTCCACATGCGCCCGCCCGCTCACAATTATTACCTTATCACACTGCACTTCCTGTTGCACGGTCAGCACCACAAGGTGTGTGATTCATGAATAATTAATTGAGAAGTTGAATTGACATAATTCATTACATACTACCTAACTCTTTTCTTACCCATCAGTCACCGTTTGACGGCTCTCGTCTGGTGTTTCCTCCGAGTCTGGCCGCCATCGCCATTGGCGCTTTTTACCTCATACTCAGGCAGCTGTTGTCTGAGGGTCTGGGAACCTCCCTGTTCGTCGGGGGTCTGTGTGGATACGTGGTCTACGACATGATCCACTACTACCTGCACTACGGCTCGCCACGGAGAGGCTCCTACTTGTACGGGCTGAAAGCGTACCACGTCAAACACCACTTTGAACACCAAAGGGCAGGTGAGGACATGAGATTTGAGATGATGGGCATTAGAGCATCTCTCTACAAAATAGAGTTTAAGACCAGTGCCAAGTTAAAGTAAATAAAAATGTTTACTGTAAACAATATGTATAATTTACTGTGACCTTAAAATACATTGTTGTATACAAAAAAGTCATTTAAAGTATTTTTTATTACTTTTATATATTTTTTTTAAATATATTAAATATGTATACATTTTAAATAATAATAATAATAATAATTTACTGTGACCTTAAAAAATACATTGCTGTATACAAAAAAGTCATTTGAAGAGTTTTTTTATTACTTTATTATTTTTTTAAATATTTTTTTTACTGTAATGCTTTACAATACCTAAGTCAATACAATGCAAAGTCAATT